TATCCCAATCCAAAGCTAGAGCAACTCCTGCCACTGACTCCATTGTATTCCTGCACTCCAGTTTTTCCAGCTATATTTTATTTTCTAATGTTTTTTTTCCCCAAAATGCTTTTATTTCCTGGTGCACCTGCAGACCCAAAGCTGTGTTCTCATGAGCACCATTTGAAAAATTAATGCAAGTACAACTTGAGTCAAAATTCTGCCCATTTGTGATAGTCAGTCATGACTAAAGCTGATTTGATGTCCCCACAGGCAGCATTACCCTATCCCACAGCTCCTCCAGTGAACACTCCCCAGCGTGCTTCCTTTGATGAAAACATAAATAATAACATTAAGGTATTTTTTCTTGACCAAAACCTTTTACTTTTCCCTGTTTATTTTGAATTCTCCCTCAGATCTGATTTCTGGCTCTATCACATCAGGGCCTGCAGGATGGACCAGGGACCTCATCCCCTTCATCCAAGAGCCATCCTCACTCCTAAATAAGCCTAAAACCCACTGATTATATGGAAAGCTAATTAATTTTGCACAAGTTTCCTCTTTTTTTCACTGTTGCCACACTATCCCACAAAGACAGGACTGTGTTCAGCCTCTGTTAATTAACCAGGCATGCCAAGGCCTCCTGATCCATACTAATTGGGCAGCGTGGAGCAGGAACAATGCTTGCTATCTCTGCAGAAAGGCCCAAGACAGCTCTTAAAGCTGAATTAAGCCATGAAATCTCCTCCAAGATCCCACTCTTCACCAGGAGCCACAACAGGAGCTCCACGAGCAACAGGGAAGAATTCTGGGTTGTGTTTTATTTCTTTTAACATTTGAAATTGAGTCTTTCACTGAAATTAAAATAAAAGGAAGAAAAAAAGACAAAGGCTGGCAAGCAACACTCAGCACACAAACTGAGCTGCTGAAGTGGCAAGAGCTGGGATCCCAGATTTCAGCACCCAGAGCAGCAGGAAGAGTTTCCATCCCTGGCAGCCTCTGCCTGTGGGGTTCAGCACATTTCTCTGCCTTTTCCCTCAGTGTGGCTCTGCTGTTTGTCCAGAAATCCACTGGGAGCCAAGGCCAGGGCTGAGGGAAACACATCACTGGCACTTGGATCTCAGTAGTGCATTCAAATAAATTAAAATTCTGAATATTAATGCTTCCACTGAAAGAATTGTCAAAACACACACTGGAGATGTGGGAATGGCATTCCCAGCACTTCCAAGCTGTAGCTGCTCTCCTGTTAACCCAGGATGAGTTAATGAAGTCTCTACAGCTGGACTTAGGGCAATTAGCCATATTTATATTTAAATTTATTATGCATTTACACTGCAACTGTGATAAATATTATATATTTCAATGTGTGATTAAGTATTGCCAGAGAATCATGGGATGGTTTGGGTTGGAAGGGACTTTAAAGTCCACCCCTGTGCCACGGGCAGGGACACCTTCCACTATCCCAGGCCGCTCCAAGCCCTGCCCAGCCTGGCCTGGAAAACTTTACATTTCTATACATCCAGCAATAACCTATAAATATATAAACACACTATGGATGCTAGCTTTGGAACAGGCTGCAGGGAGCATGCAGGCCCATGGCCTCTCAGTCCTGCCTGAGAAGCTAGCCTGGGAATTCAAAGGAGGATTTCAAAACAATCCTCAGAGACAGAAAACAACTGCCAGGTGCTGTTTGTCTGTCCTCTTGTTTTCCCTTGCAGGAGAGGGTCAGGGGGGCAGTGTGCCCCTGACCAATGATGGTGATGTAGCACTTTGCTAACCAATAAGAGTTTCATTTCTGTACTTTCCATGTATCTGTCTATAAGACAGGCCTGAAGCAATAAACCAGAGAATTCTCGTGTTGTGACTCCCTTGAGAGTCAGTGTCGTTCTTTATCGCCATTCCCAATCGGAACGACAACACACAAATGTCAGAGCTGCCTCGAGTTCTGGATACACAACAAACAAGGCAAATCCACGTGACGTAGTTTAGACCTGACATTATCTGCACAAAGAACTGATCTGCAGGGTTTTGTAAGCAAATCAAAGCGCCTTTGTCACTGTCTCTCGCTCCAGCTGATCAGATTCCCACACACAGCATCTTCCATGGATTACCAGGTTAAATCCCAAACAGCGAAGGCACAGGATTAGGAAATGCAGATGAAAAGACCTGGGTTGAAAATGCCAGCAAGACCTTAATCCAATCTCCTCCTGTGCATCTGCAACCACAGAACTTCAAATCTTGGATGATTCTGTCCAGGGCACCAACCATGGAGCTGCTGGAGAGAATCCAGAGGAGGCCACAGAGCTGCTCCATGGGCTGGAGCCCCTCTGGAGCCAGGCTGGGAGAGCTGAGGGTGCTCACATGGAGAAGAGAAGGCTCCAGGGACACCTCAGGGCCCCTTTCAGTGCCTAAAGGGGCTCCAGGAGAGCTGGAGAGGGACTGGGGACAAGGGATGGAGGGACAGGACACAGGGAATGGCTTCCCAGTGCCAGAGGGCAGGGATAGATGGGATATTGGGAAGGAATTGTTCCCTGGGAGGGTGGGCAGGCCCTGGCACAGGGTGCCCAGAGCAGCTGTGGCTGCCCCTGGATCCCTGGAAGTGTCCAAGGCCAGGTTGGACTTTGGGGCTTGGAGCAGCCTGGGATAGTGGAAGGTGTCCCTGCCTGTGGCCAGGGTGGGACTGGATGATCCCTAATGTCCCTTCCAACCCATAGCAGTCTGGGATTAGGTACTCCAGCTGTCTCTGGCTCTCTGAATTCCTGCCTCTTTCCCCTACCCTGAAACCCTAACCCAATTCAGTGGAGCTGGGACAGATGCTTAGGCAGAAATCGGCTCCATCCCTGATATCCAGGCAAAGGGGTCCTTCTCTGAAACAGGAATAAGAATTTGGAGTTGGGGAACAAAATTTAGAATAACCAGCTGTAGGCACAATGAGGACTTTGAGATCAAATAGAAAATTACAAAATCATGAGTAGCTGGAAGTGCCTTCAGAGGAGACTGAGTCAAGGAACCTCAATTACATCTATCAGCACCTGAACACCTGATTTGAGATGGAAATCCTACAAGTTTTACATTTGAATGGCACAGGGAATAACCTTAGAGAGGAAAAACACTGCCAGAATGTGAAGCAACTTTAGGACAGAAAAGAAATCCCAATTTTGTGCCACAAAACCCAAATAAACCTGAAGAGGGGGAAAGAAGNCAGCAGGTGCCAGGCAGCACACACTGACTCTAAAATCCTGTATTTCATTGTCATTTATTCCATGTTTCACTGCTGAGGCTCTGTCTCGGGCAGCATGCTTAGCATGGATTAATTATTACATCCATCCTAAGCCAGGCATTAAAATTAAACTCTCTCCAGCTCCATCCATCCATCAGCCACTGTTGTCGCTTTTCCAAAGCAATAAGCTTGGGAGAGAAAACTGGGCAGGATTTAACTATCCCTGTGGGAAGTTCTGTCAAGCCATCAGGCTCCAGCTGAGAGTCTGGGAATTTTTTAGCAAGTCCCCGTGCCTTGTTTTATTTTAGCTCCCTTTTCCTGGCCAGAAGCTGTCACAGCAAGATAAAGAGGCCAGGGACAAAACCAAGGAGCTGCTCCAGGAGGAGTCCAGGGCTCTGGGAGCACTGGCCAAGGCCATAGGATGTCTTCTCCATCCTCTGGGTCAGAGTTAAAGGCAGCAGGCCAACAACTGGGATTTGGTTTTTACATTTCTTTGTAGATTGTGGACATGTCAGAATGAGTCCAGAGGAGTCATGGAGTTGCTCCTCTGGCCCCTCTGGAGGCAGGCTGGGAGAGCTGAGGGTGCTCACCTGGAGAAGAGAAGGATCCAGGGACACCTCAGTGCCCCTTCCAGCACCTAAAGGAGCTCCAGGAGAGCTGGAGAGGGACTGGGGACAAGGGATGGAGGGGCAGGACACAGGGAATGGCTACCCAGTGCCAGGGGGCAGGGATAGATGGAATATTGGGAAGGAATTGTTCCCTGGGAGGGTGGGAGGCTGCCCCTGGATCCCTGGGAGTGTCCAAAGCCAGGTTAGATGGGGCTTGGAGCAGCCTGGGATAGTGGAAGGTGTCCCTGCCCATGGCAGGGGTGGCACTGGATGGGCTTTAAGGTCCCTTCCACCAGGCCATTCCAGGATTCTGTGCTCCTGGGAAGGGACGGGATCCACCTGACCAAGTGGGGCAAAAGCCTCAGTGGCCAACACGACTCCAAACACTCGGCGTGCGAGGGAGATGCACCATCCCAATATTTTTGTCCATGAAAAAATAGCAAAAGAAAAGGGATTTGAAGCTTGGCTCATGATTGTCCATACTCTGGGAAAAGAGGGAATATTATTTCTGAGCGAAGGGAAGTGAAAGGGCATCTAACCAACAAACTTGGATTTCTGTAGGATTAACTTCACTTCAAAAAGCTTCTCCATGACATTCTTATCAATCTTAAAAAGACCATTTTTTGCCTTGCAATGAAGACTGGCTCCCAGGAAGTGGAAGATGATGGTGGAAAAACTAGTTGGCAGCTCAAAATCACTGTGTATTCCCTCCAAAATCTCCATCCTGCTATGTGGAAAGAAACCAAGTGTCTCTCAAGTGTATTAGGCAGGCTAGGAAAATTATAAATAGTTGTTGAATAGAATGAAAAAACTTGGTCTCTGAAATCCCATCAACATTTTATGAGAAAAGAAGTCAAACATATTTTCCCTGTGAGCAGTGGAAGAGAAACTTAGACCATTTTTTCCCCCAAGGTGAAAGCTCAGACATCCCTCTCTTCCTTTCTATTATTTGGAGAAGCTGGGAATGAAGCCTGGAAGCCAGCATTGGAAGGGGGATACTTAGCAAAGAAATCATGGAATATTGTAGGATTTATTTCAAAGAAATTGAGTTTTGTGGTCATTTACCCAGAGACTCAATAACAGTTTCCACCCCCAGGTGTTCCCTGAGAGCACATGTGCAAACCATCAGGGGTTCATTTTCAGCCCTTCAGCCACTCTTCCTTCCTGACCCAGCCAAGGAGTTCCATTAAATGTCAAGTGCTGACACATTTGTGCCTCAGGAGGGGAGAGAGAGAGTCTGGAGTGGGATTTTGGTAGCCCCTTGCCTTGGGAAGGTGTGAACTCACCTTTCCTTTGCTGATTATAAAGAAGGTGTCCCCTCGAGCCCCTTGGCGGATGATGTACTCTCCACTCTCGTAGTGAGTCTGTAAGAGGAGAAGGAACCAAATGAAGATGAACAAATCAAAGCAGAGCCTGTTCCCCAGCCCATATTTTGGCAGCTTTGCAAGAACATCACCCTGGACCCCTTTTATCCCAGCCTGACACTGGCTGTGACTTAAAGATTGTCCTGTGCTAAGGAACAGAATAATTAAACTGGAAGCATTTGTGGCTTGCCCATTTTTCTTCTGGCTGTGCTGGTGCCAGCCTGTGCCCAGATGAATTATCCTCACAGCCTAAATCCATTTTGAGCAAGTCAATGAGACAGAGGAATTTCCAACAGGGAATAATGCTACACAAACTAAACTGCAATAAGAAGTCTGGTGGTAAAATTTTCTTTTCCTGCTTTTTTTTTTTGGTGTTGATTTTGGTGGTTTTCCAGCTTTGCTAGCAAGGGCTTTATTCAGCAAATAAATTTTGCTTTTCTCTTGTTATTACAGTAGTTTAGTCTGTCAACTTTTGCCTTATTTTGTGGAATAAGCTTGCTAAATTCATGTCACAGCTTATCAATGCTGGTATCTAAACTTGTTAGGATACTTTCATCCCTTGTGTCACCCCATCAAAAGCAATATGCATTTATACACGACCAAAAAACCCCAATATTTTCTAAATCAAGATTTTCAATTGATATTTAGACACCCCCCCCACCCTCGACTTTTCATTCCAAATGCTCTGCCCCTACAAATTCAACCAACAGCAGGCTGGGGATATCAAGAGCTTCCCACCCAACCTCTCCTGCATCTCCTTTGGGATAAAGCAGGGGAATTAATCCAAATCCTCAAATTTGGTTAAGCTTGAGATGTTTTCTTTCATAGTGTTGTGTTGACCTGAGTTTGTTTATTTTATCTTTACATCCCAACCTTTTTATCATTTACAGACTGATAACAGAACCCCTAGCTTTTCCCATTTTCATGTGCCAGAGTGGGAAGAGGGAGGGAAAAAAAAAAGTCTGGAGGAGACCTGGACACAAACTTGCAGGGTTTTACTGCTTGTGTTGTGTGTCTCTGGAGAGCAGATTTAAGGTGCACATTTTTGACCATCCAGGGTGAAATTCCTTGGAAGGGCCAGGTTTAAGGAGCTGTTGGAATCAGACCCCCTTATGTGGAATCTTGTAGGCACCCAAAAATCTAGTTAATTAAAATACTGGGCTAATAGCTTCCAAATTTACATCAGGCAATCCATATTCATTAGATACATTAATGGCATTTTGAATATGATTTCTGGGCAATTTAATATGATAAACGTGCTCCCTAAAAAGCCATTTCTTGGTCTTGCTCACCAGCTACCACCAGCACCAACCACTGCAGAACTGAGTCTCAGTCCTGCTGCTGTAAGCAATTCCACAATTCCAATCTTCTAACCCATAAATTTCACCCAACCATTCCCATCCATAATTCTTCCCAATCATTCCCACATATGGATCTTCCCAACCCATGAGTCCTCTCAAACTTCCCACCCCGAATCCTAGCCATTTCCATGAATTAGTCTCCCCAAACTTCCCACCCAGAAGTCTGCCAAAAGAATGGAAGGAACACAAATTTGAGCTTCAAAGCACCTGAAGCTGCCTCTCCTTCAGCGTATTTTGTCTCTTTTTTAAACTGAGCTCTAATCTCAGCCAAATCCTTCTTCCAACATTCCAATCACATTCCTCTAGTCCTCCCTTGAGTGCCTAGAGCTTTCATTTTGTTTAACCTGCTCCTCACTGGTGCCTCTTTCCATGCCCTTCCTGCCACCCACATCCTCATGTTTATGTATTCCAAGCCATTTCTTTCACAGCTAATTCCACCCGCAACTCTTTGTGCTTGAATCAACCCATCCTTCCCATTCTTTAGCAATGCTCCTGCTCTTAAATCCTTGTTTTCTAACTCAAATCAGCTCCTCCGTGTGCTTCGCCCTTCTAATGGAATTCTTGTTATCTGTCCTGTGTCTGAACGCCATCCTGGGCAGGCAACGTGCCCGAGAGCTCACACAGGGCTCACAGAAGTGGAAATAAAGACAAGGCTCTTGCTTTTAGCCCCACTTGAGAGGCAGCAATACCTCCACAGGTACCTCTGATACCATCTAAGATATCTAAAGAAGTGTAGTTGCAAAAGTTCACAGAATCCCAGAATGACTGAGGTTGGAAAAGACCTCTAAGACCAGGAAGTCCACCTTGTGACTCATTCCCAGCTTGTCCCCAGCCAGTGCCAGGCAGCCCCTGCCAAGGCCTGAGCTCCCTTGCCATGGAGAAATTCCTCCTGGTGTCCAAGCTGAGCCTCCCCTGGCACAGCTTGAGGCCGTTTCCTCTCATCCTGTCCCTCAGCATACAAAGAAGCTGGAATCTTTCACAAAATAACATTTCCAACCTAAATGAACAAAAGTGAACCTCTTCCTCCCCTTGAACACCTCCATCAAGTGCCTCTCATGGAGATCCTTGTTTGTCCAGTAAGAGCAGTTTCTATAAAAATACCAGGGTTTTTTTCCTTTACTTCTATTGTCAATTTTACTTAAAATGATAAAAAAAATCCCAGCACCCAAGGAGGGTGGGAGGAGAATGCTCACTCAGCAGGTTTGAGAGGATAAGGCACGGATATGTCTCCATCACCTGCTCCAGGTACCCCACAGAAGAACTACCAACCTCATGATCAAGTCAAATTATGCTCTAAAAAAGGCAACTATCCCATTTTATGAAATCCCTCATCCTGTGCAGAATGTCAATGAGCAGACATTGACATTTCTTTGAGTGGAGAAATATCCAATGCAAGGTCCCTTCAGGAGTGACTGGATTTTTGAAACCAACTTCTATTGAAAACAGAAAGTCAGGAACAGTGGAGCCCAATAGCACCGAATTTTGTCAATAAACTCCTTTCTGAATCTCAGTGCTCCCCAGGATTAAAATCTCCCACAGATACAGGACCCTAAAACACATACAAACTGTATTTCAGTGACCACCCCAATCCATCCATCTCAGAACAGTTAAATGTGTGATTAATTTCTTTGTCCCCAACATGCCAGGGCATATCTCACTCACCACACAAAACATCGTCACCTTTGCAACTTCAGACCTTCACATCTGGCTCAGGACTTTGGCTCACTGAGTTTGGTTGATCAATCATCACAAGCTTCAACTTTAGGAGCTTCTGCTCCTAAATACCACCAAAAATGCAATGTCTGAGAGCCTGACCAGGCCTCATGAAGAAATCCCGACCAGGCATCGCGGAGAAACTTCAATTAGGCCTCCTGGAGAAACCTTGCCTAAAACTCAGATCTCTGAGAGCCCAACCAGGCCTTGTGGAGAAACCTCAACTAAAAAGGAGATGTTTGAGAGCCTGCTCAGGCCCCATGGAGAAACCACAACTAAAAATGAGATGTTTGAGATCTGGACCAGGCCTTGTGGAGAAACCTTGAGCCGGCCTCATGGAGAAACCTCAACTCAAAACAAGATGCTTGAGCATCCATCCAGACCTCATAGAGAAATCTTGACTGAAAATAAGATGTTTGAGAGCTGAACAGGTCATGTGGAGAAACCTTGACCAGGCCTCATGAAAAAACCTCACTTAGGCCTCATAAAGAAACCTTGACTAAAAAATGAGACTTTGAGAGCCCACTCAGGCCTCATGGAGAAGCCTTGACTAAAATTGAGATGTCTGAGAGAGGCTACCCAGACCTTGTGGGGAAACCTTAACTAAAAATAAGATGCCTGAGCTGGACCAGGCCTCATGGAGAAACCTCCACTCTGGAGTCCAACCCAACAGTTAAATTCGAGAAAAACATCATTTTCCTCCACCTGGATGCCTCTGACTGCCGTTTTTATGCTGAGAATGTTTGGGAAAAGGTGGGAAATGGGGTGTTTAGTATGCTCCGTGACCCACGGCGCCAAAAGTCCCCTCAGGGGAGTAGAGGCACAAAGGTTGCTTTCAAACGAGGACTTCAAAGCTGGAGCTGGGTTAACACCACAAAAACCAGTGACAGCAACACAGGGTTGATGACAGTCCTCCATGTCCCACCCACTGCATCCAAGGTGTTTTTAAAATAAAATAAAAATAACCTTAATATGTTATTTTGCTGGTGTTTTAAAAAATATTCACAGAACTGTCAGCAAAACTCCAAACAGAAGCAGCTTTTAGAAGATTTATTTTTCCTGTTTGGGATTTGCTGCCTTAAATATCCTAAAATGACAACAGACATGCAAACAAAATGAAATGGAAAAATACATTTATTTGCTGAAAATGCTGCAAAACCAAATGGGTAAATATGAGTCTTCTGTACTGATCTCCTTAAGAATCACACAGATTTGTTTCCCTGGTTTTACAGTGCATCCTACTCCCAGGGATTATCTAAAAATGCTGCTGCTTGAAATAGCCGGAGGGAAGGATTATACTTTTGTGGTCCTCTCCTCATTTATCCCTAATTTTTGACACTTAAGACATCTCAATAGCCAAGCAGCATCTTAACTAGAGGAATTTAGCCCCACTTGTGCATGTGCAAACCACAAGTAGTAAATTAAAACATGAGGAAGTTGCAGTGATGAGGGGAAGAGAGGGTTAACTCATGCCCTTAATTCCATGATAATTATGGAATTGAGAAAGGAGATGAGGAAGGGGACCTAATAGTGGCCTTCCAGTATCTGAAGGGAGCCTACAAGAAAGATGGAGAGAAACAACTACCAAGGGTCTAAAGGGACAGAACACAGGGAATGACTTCCCAGTGCCAGAGGGCAGGGATAGATGGGATATTGGGAAGGAATTGTTCCCTGGGAGGGTGGGCAGGCCCTGGCACAGGGTGCCCAGAGCAGCTGTGGCTGCCCCTGGATCCCTGGGAGTGTCCAAGGCCAGGCTGGACTTTGGGGCTTGGAGCAGCCTGGGATGGTGGAAGGTGTCCCTGCCCATGGCAGGGGTGGAACATGATGGACTTTGAGGTCATTTCCAACCCAAACCATTCCATGATCCTGTGATTTTTACTCAGCTGGCTCTAACAGAGCTGCAATGTCCAGCAGCATTTTTTTTTG